TGTATCTACGGTGAGTCGTGATAGATTTAATATTTTGAAACGATGACTCCGAATGGATGATGGAAGTATACGTCCCACACTTTTAGCAAGCGTTGTATTTACTCCCGTCAGGAAAATATGAGATATATTTGTAAACCATTGTATAAGTAATTATACTGCAGGGGCTCACGTTACTATAGATGAAGAATTACTTGGTTTTCGCGGACGGCGTCCTTTTAGGATGTATGTGCCCAACAAGCCAAGCAAGTACCTCCCTGCAAACATAATCTGAGCGTTCAGAATATATGAGTCCGACAGGAGTCCTAGGTGGGTAAGAAATATGAGTTTCAAAAACAAAAAATTGTTTACTCTTATATGAATCTTTTAGGATTCATATATGATCCAAGTTATGAGCCAGCACCTTGGGCGAATATAAAAACAATAAAGATTTGAAATTTATATCTAAACTTGTTCATACAGAAATTGAAAATAATTAGAAAACAACCCCGCAAACATATTCTGAGCGCTCAGAATATATGAGTCGGAAAGGAGTCCTAGGTAGGTAAGAAATATGAGTTTCAAAAACAAACATTTTTTTACTCTTATATGAATCTTTTAGGAGTCATATATGATCCAAGTTATGAGCCAGCACTTTGTGCCAGTATAAAAACAATAACGACTAGAAATGTATATCTAAACTTGTTTATACAGATATGAAAAATAATTAGGAAGGAAAAATAAACAAAATTTAGCTGTATTTATATAAATATGCAACATGTATATAAATATAAAACAGTATTTGAAATGATTTCCTTGCTAAGATGGCTCTAAAGTAAGTTAATTAAGAGAGTTGAAGAATAAAGCCAATAAGAGTCACAGAACAGCATACAATGAGACTCCGAAAGTAGGCATTTATGAGGCCAATAAGAGTCATTTAAGAGCTTCAAAAAGAGTCCAAAATGAGCCGTATATGAGGCCAATAAGAGTCCAATATGACTCATATTGAGGCTCATTTGATGTATGAATTTAAGCTCATATAGGACGACCTTCGCAGGAAGGGAAACACCCTCATTTCGGACTCTTAAATGAGCTCATAATGAGCACAAAGGCTCCGAAATGGGACTCCTTAAAGACTCATTTATGACTCCAAATGTTTGCTGGGATACAATGAACAAAATTTAGCTGCAGCTGCTGCTATTGAATGCATGTTGGAATGTGTATATGCACGTAAGTATGTATGTATGTTATTTGAAAGGAATTTTTGATGAATGCCTTTGCAAATATAGTGAGTTCCATAAGACTCAAAGAATAACGTAAAATAAGAGTCCGATTGTAGTAATTTATGAGGCCGGTAAGTCTTAAAAAGAGTCTGAAATGATTCCTATATGAGGCCAAAAATTGTTTTAAAAGAGTCCAAAATGAGCCGTATATGAGGCTAATAAGAGTCGAATATGGCTCATATTGAGGCTCATTTGATATAAGAATTTAAGCTCATATAAGTCGACATTCGGAGGAAGGGATACACCCTCATATCGGACTCTTAAATGAGCTCATTATGAGCGTAATGGCTCCGAAATAGGACTCCTTAAAGACTCATTTATGACTCCAAATGTTTGCTGGGCTATGGAATGAAAATTGTAATGGTGTGTGACAGTGGTACAAAGTACATAATAAATGGAATACCTTATTTGGGAAACTGACGATTGTAGGAACAGTGCGATCAAACAAACGCAAGATACCTGAAGTGATAAAAAAACAGTCACTCCTGGCCAGTGGGAACATCTATGTTTTGTTTTAAGGGACCCCTTACACTCGTTTCTTATAAGCCGAAGCCAGCTAAAATGTTTTACTTGCTATCATCTTGTGATCAGGGATGCCAACTATACTTAGCTATGAAGTGCCATATTGAGGATAAGAAAGTGCCAAAATGTTCCACAAGAGGTTCCATTCTTTTTAACTCTTCCCATTTAGCATTAAGAAACACATTTCTAAAACGAAAGTCCAATGGCAAGGTAAGATAAACCAGTTGTATACACTATACAAATTAGAAAATTTTAGTTGAGAAAAAGAAGTACACGCAAACAATTTCACACAAATGTATTGAAATATTACTATTTTTCGAAAGTGTCATTTTAGCACGTTGTGCCAAATTGAAAAATTAAGAGCCATTTTAAGTAAAATAGGGCCAAAAATTGCACGATTTGAGCCAAGTTAGCAGCTCTGCTTGTAATGAAGACGCCAATTTAAATGAAACTTTCGGTAAACCAGAGATGATTATGTATTATAATCAAACCAAAGGCGGGGTGGATGCACTAGATCAAATGTGTTCTCTGATGTCCTGAAGTAGGAAGACGAATAGATAGATAGGCCGGGCTGTTTTCTACGGGATGATAAATATTTCGTTCATTAATGGTTATATTATGTACAGCCACAATGTCAGTAGCAAATAGGGATGAAACGATACCATTCAGGTATCGATAGTTTTACTTGGAAGTAGTATCGAAAAAAGGATCGATGCCTGAAAAATATCGGAACTAAAGTATCGATACCTACTCGTATCGGTACTCATCATGTATTCCGCATTAAGTTAATTTTTTTTTTTAATCACAAGTTAATCATCCTCTGGGAATCCTAAACTCCGAATAATAAAATTTAATAATGTAGGAACTGAAAATAAATAAAACTCCGTTACATAGCAGAACTATATGTTTAATGATGAATGGTATTTACAAAGATACATATACATTGGAAAAGATTCCAAGTTAGCCTTATTTAAGTAAACATTTATTAATAAAATATTTCAGCGAAAAAGGTGTTCTTTTTTGTACTTCCTAAGAATAGAAGTTTTTCCAAATATTTGTCAGTCAACCGATTTCTTGACGTGGCTATTGTTGCTCCTCCTTTCGAAAACAATCGTTCGCAAGTAAAAGATCCCAGTGGGAAAATGTAATGTATAGTAATCGAAAAAATAATCAGTAAAACAACCCTTTTCACATTCGAAAATGATTTTTTTCCCAGGGCGATGTCCTAAGAAAAGTGGGGCATTCAATTTTGCATAACCTAGCATCGAGAAATGAATGTGTTTTTATATGAAATTTCTGGAACTTTTTGAATACATTAGAATGCTGATTACATAGTTAGCAGTAATATTATCGAGAACGCATACGAAATACATTATATTATTTATCACGCTTGTAATGCATTACTACTTTTCCGACTGTGTAGTTGCAATATGTAGCGTTTATGAATTACTAAAAAGAGAGTTTTTTGAACCACTCAAATATTGTATATATATATTTTCTACAGACTAGATACGAAGATAGCGTTTAATTTTTCTGGGCTTGGGATACGTTCAATATTTTAGTATTTTCTAAGAATTTTTTTATATTTTGAATCAACTCTTTCTTTATATCTTTTCTTCAATAACATGGCTATTTGCCCCTACCTTTTTTATTGCCCGCTAATGTTTACAGCGCGAAGAATAATAGAGTTACTCAGTGACTTTTACATCGCGTTAAAACATCTGTACTGAACATTCATCCACTTCACACTTTCACTCGAACAATTGGCCGTGTAAACGTTGCAAACCCTCGAATTTGGTGATGCAATTGGATCGCGTATACTTTGCATTATGTCGACTTTGGCGCCTTCTCGCGGTTTTCGTTGGCAATTAAGTTGCCAAAAAGCACAGGGCGATTCATATTAGGCATAAACGTAGAGGAAAAAAATTTCGGAGCAAAATTTAACTTGGTATCGGGTTCCGATACGAGTACTTTTTTCTATACCTACTCAGTACTTGGTTCAAAAGTATCGATAACAAAATTTACTTGGTATCGAAGGAAAAGTAACGAGTATGTACTTATTAGAGCTGTAAAAGTAACGAAAATTTGGGTACCCGTATGTATTCGTTACTAATCCAATCAACACCCGTATCTTTCGTATCGTTACTTTACTCGTTACTTCTGATACAAGCACTTGTGTACGAAAAAAAGTATACCCAATTTTTTTATATTGTAATCAGAAGATATTTAGAGGTCGCTCAAAGCGCTCAAAGTTTCCATGTATTTTTATATGGGAAAAATAAATTTTTTCGTAGAAAGGGCATAGAATTCTTGAAAGTCAATATTTTTCGATCGGTAATTCAGTAATAACACCTAATTGTTTATTTAACCATTTTTTAATACTAACGATTTCTTATTGGTCGCCCCATTGCATTTTTCGGGGTTTTTGTCGGGCCTATAAATTATAGTTGCAATGAAAAAATGGCTAAATAAACAATTGGGTATTATTATTGGGAATCTCCTGCAGATAAGCAGAGTTCTGGTAGAAAAATATTGATTTTTAACTATTCTATACCATTTCTACGAAAAGTTGTTTTTTCCCCGTATAAAATACATGGAAACCTTTGGGCGCTTTGAGCGACCTCTGAATATTTTTTGATTTCAAAAAAAAGGGTATATTTTTTTTAGTTATAGAACAATCCTAGGGTGAGAGCATACCAATTCCGACTTTACTTTTTCACATGCATTTTTGACCACCCTACACACTTTATTATCGATGCGAACAACAGTTTCGTTCCCGCACAGTATGTTGTGTTGTAACGATTCACGTTAATGGTGCATATACGAAACATGCGAGTAACGACATTATTATGTGAGTAATGATTCGGTACTTCGAGTCAGGGGTTGTATTCGTTACACAGTAAGACGTTCTGGAACGCTCTGTATATAAACAATATATATATTTCCTCAAGCAAAGACTATCGATAGTGGCCAACGACCATTCGATAGTGCAAAAAAATAGAACCATTCGATAGTATCGATATCGAATATTCACATTCGCATTCGCAACCGCGGAGCTTCCGCATTAATTTTAACATTCGCTTTCGCATTCGCAATAATCGGCAAAAGTGCACTTTAGCGGAACCAGGCCAAAATTGATGAAAAAAATCCAGGAGGGGTATCAATCGACGCGTTTTAATGCGAACAACAATAATCCGGGACCGGAAATTCACATGTTTAATTCATTAAAGAGTTATTCGCAAAAAACACTTGCACTTTTCGCACTATGTTTTGATGAATTTGAAGCAGATAAATGGAGTAAATGAACTCAACTGAACACGTATTCATTAGTTTTTATACATTTGTGATGTTTCAAGTGTAAATTTTTACGAAATTCTGTATTAAATTGGAATATTGCAATGTTGAAAATCCGCACAACAATCTCGTGAAGTTAATATAAATAAGACGGAGGAAAACTAGTGTTGCCACACTATTAAAAATAAAATTGAGGTAAATTGCTGCTGTCACTCTATTAAAAAAGTTTTTGTGCGTCCAACTCCTTTTTGCGTAGGCGGCCTTCGGCCGCCCCTAGGGATTATAACCCTCACTACGTATTCTCCTACCTGTGCTGCCAAAGAAAAGCGGCTGAACACCTTTTGCAGAGAACACCTTTCTGCGTAGTCGGCCTTCGGCCGCGCTTAGAGATTATAACCCTCACAACGTAGAATTATCCTTTCTGTGTTGCCAAAGAAAAGGGGCAGAACACCTTTTGCAGAGAACACATTTTTGCGTAGGCAGCCTTCGGCCGCGCTTAGGGATTATAACCCTCACTACGTAGAATTCTTCTTTCTGTGTTGCCAAATAAAAGGGGCTGAACACCTTTTGCAGAGAACACCTTTCTGCGTAGGCGGCCTTCGGCCGCGCTTAGGGATTATAACCCTCACAACGTAGAATTCTCCTTTCTGTGTTGCGAAAGAAAAGGAGCAGAACACCTTTTGCAGAGAACACCTTTTTGCGTAGGCGGCCCTCGGCACAGTGGTAGAAATGGCCAATCTAGCTCCGATTAAATCAAATTTCAAAATCTATTTTAACGGAAAAACAGATTTGTATTTGATTACTAATACATCAGATAGATCACTGACATTTTTCATTTTGTTTTGCTCTCAATATTCGCACAGCTGTAAAGCTTCAAACACAGCATATGTTGCACCAGATGCAGCCAAAAACCTTTCCGCCTTTTTTAACAAGCAGCTGCAATTGTTCATTAAATTTCTCAAAGTGATTCTAAAATTCTTTTTAATTTTTTTATTTAAAGTTAAAGGTGTGTATTAACGAAAAAAAATGTGTTTGTGTCCAGTGTTTGTGTTTCGTGTTTTAGATTTGTTGTTGTTTAAAGTGCTAGTAAGAATTATAATGTTTTCCCATAAATTCACCTGTTGTAGAAGTAAACTTCTGTGATTCGAATGCAATCGATCTAATTTTATTTTTTTTAATTAATGTATAGTGTTGTTATGTGAAATGTTTAAAATGAGATGCACGTTTTTGCAACTTTTTTATAAACTAATTTTTTTAGTTACAATGTCAGTATCTAAGCGAGCGCTATTTTTGGTATGGTATGCGGAACATGACGCTTCTAAAAAATTTTCTGCCGTGGAATCCTATGTTTTCGACATCATAGATAAAAGCAAATATAATGAGGATCAATGCATTGAAATATCCAATAGGGTAAAAAATAAGCATGAAATGGAGACAAAGCCACCGGGCTCGGATGATTTTTGAGAGAAATAACAAGGTCTGGTTAGATAGTGAAATTTTATTGGTAGACCCAACCCCAAGTACTGGGCGACCCAAAATAAGCTTCACGGACAGCCAGGAAAAAACAAAAAAGAAAAAAGTGTCTGATATCGCCAAAGAAATCCCGTGCGATGAGCTCATGTCTGCGGCCGGCACTAGTTTATACAAGGCTGGCAAGAGGACTGCATCAGTAGTCGTATCAATGTTGAACTCCGATGAAAATTTGCCAAAAAGATTAAAATCTGCCATATTAACCAATAATAATGAAGTCATAAAATACACAGCAGAGGAAGCTTTAGCATTATATATTGATGGCGGTTATACAAAAAGGGTTTACATGGACTTGCAGAATGGAACTAAAAAGAGAAATGCTAATATATTTCCCACTTATGATGTTTTACTGTCTGCGAAAAAAATTTGCTACCCTAATGGGCTACAAGTTACTGATCATTCTTTTGAGGTGCCTTTACAATGTTTGGTTAATCACACAGTGGCCAGAATATTTGCTGCGCATTCCCAAGATTTCACAAACTCTGAGAGTAATAACGCTCTTAAGATAACTGCCATTTACAAATGGGGTTGTGATGGAAGTAGTGGCCACTCAACTTATCGACAAAATTTTGATAATGTTGACGCTTGTATGATTGACCAACATATGTTTACGGTGTGCTTGGTACCATTACAAATAGTTTTCGGTTCAACCATACTCTGGAAAAATGCCAAACCTTCATCAACTCGTTATTGCAGACCACTAAAATTACTTTGTCAAAAGGAAACAGCAGAATTAATCCGTGATGAAGTGAACAATGTCGAATCTCAAATAGCCAAAATTCAGCCAACGAAACTTCAAAATTATGAAGTTCATCATCAGTTCCATATGACGATGATAGATGGGAAGGTATTTAGTGTTGTGGCAGAAACATCATCCCAAAAGTGTGGAATTTGTGATGCATCACCAAAAAATATGAACAACCTTCAAATGGTGAAAAATTTGCCGTGCAAAGAAAACTTATACGAATGTGGATTATCAACTTTACATGCGTGGATTCGCTTCTTTGAGTGTATTCTGCATATCGCTTACAGAATTCCATTTAAAAAATGGCAGATTCGCAGTTGTGATATGGCGACTGTTGATAAAAAGACTGAAATACAAACAAATCTGAGAAAAGAAATGGGTATACTGGTTGATATCCCAATGCCTGGATCAGGCACAACTAATAATGGCAACACATCCGGAAGATTTTTCCAACAATCAAAATTGGCTGCTCAAATAACAGGTGTTAGCAGTTTATTAATATATCGTTTCAGCGTTATTTTACGGACAATGGCTTCTGGATATGAAATCAATACGGACGCCTTTCAGCAGTACGCATACCAAACAGCAACTATTTTTGTTGATTTGTATCCCTGGTTTTATATGCCCTCATCGGTCCATAAAATTTTAATACATGGTGCAGATATTATTAAATATGCTTCCAATAGGTATGATGTCAGAAGAAGCTCTCGAGGCCAGAAATAAAGACCTTAGAAAATATCGCCTACATCACACTCGAAAAAATTCACGGAAAAACTCAATGGAAGACTTGGCACATACACTATTTGTTTCATCAGATCCTTTCATTACCATGTTATCGAAAAGTTCATTGCCCTCTTCAAAAAAGGATGATATTATAGATAAGGATATTATTAGTCTTCTTTGTAATACAGGTGAAGAAAATAATATGTCATATGATAGCTTATCAGATACTGAGTAGAGCATTTTAATCTGAAAATTAAAAAAAAAATTATAAATAAAAAGCTTATTGAAAACATATGTTTTGCATTAATTTTGATTTATTCCAATGTTATCAATATACAAAAAATTTGCAGCTTCACAATATCAGCCTTTTTTTATGAAATATATGATGACTGAATAAGGCCTAAAATAGTTATTTCAACAGAAAAAAAATTTAAAAAAAATATAAAAAAATAAAAAATTCAAATAAAAAAAATTTTAATATTAAAGTTTACTATATTTTTAGCCCAAAAGAATAAGAAACATTAAATATATTAACTTCATCATGTTTTTCTGAATAAAAGAAATAATGTCTAAAATATGAAAAAAAAGTTCAACTTTCACAAAAAGAATTATATATAAATATATTTTTAAAAGATTTTTTTTTGTTTACCATTGTAGATTAATCTGTTTTCAACTAAAAAAAAATATTACACAAACAAAAAAAAAAATCCCTAAGCGCTATTAATTAAACGCCGCTAAATAAGTGTTTTCGACCACTGTGCTCGGCCGCGCTTAGGGATGATAACCCTCGCTACGTAGAATTCTTCTTTCTGTGTTGCCAAATAAAAGGGGCTGAACACATTTGGCAGAGAACACCTTTCTGCGTAGGCGGCCTTCGGCCGCGCCTACGGATTATAACCCTCACTACGTAGAATTCTCCTTTCTGCGTGCGAAGAAAAGGAACAGAAATCCCCTTTTCACAAAAGTATATTTCTTGTGCATTATTTGGGTGTTTTTAAAGTTGAAATACAAATTGTATTAATGGAGTGGCAGCACCAGTTTTCCTCCATCTTGTTTATATTAACTACCCAAGATTGTTGTGCGGATTTTCACCATCGGAATATTGCTATTAAATACAGAATTTCGCCAAAGGGTACACTTAAAACATCACAAATGTATAAAAACTAATAAATACGTGTTAAATTGAGTTCATTTATTCCATTCATTTGCGTGAAATTCATCAAAACATTGTGCGGAAAGTGCAAGTGTTTTTTTGCAAATAACTCTTTAATGAATTAAAAATGTAAATTCCCGGTCTCGGATTGTTGTTGGCGTTAAGACGCGTCGATTGATACCAGTCTCGAACCTTTTCCGTCCATTTTGACCTGGTTCCTCTAAAGTGCACTACTACCCAATAATCAATGCGGAGCTTTTGCGAATGCGAATATTGTTCAAGTGCACTGATAAACGTATATCTGGAAAACAAAATGATACTTTTTTGACTGTGGAGATGCTACGTTAAAACTTTCCCACTATGTCCCCCTTCTTTTGTAATTTATAGTCAAAGGGTAAGCTCTTTCAATAGGTATTTCCGGCGGATTTTTCAACGTCTAGCTATAAAGAGAATCGTTGATTTGCGCGGTAAAAGATAACCTTTAATTATGTGAGAATTATGTAACTATCAAATATTATTTGTCAAAGGTCTGTTGAAAAAACTGGATGCAATGCTAGTTTTGTTTCTACTTTTTCTTAAATAAGTGTAATCATTTTTTTTTTCATAGAATGGCTTATTGTTTATGATTAGGTTCCGTGTTTTCTTTTTTACTTAGCAGAAAAACGCACCTCTGTGCGCTCGAAAACAAAAACATTTATTTTATTTTGTGATAATTGTCAAAATTTGCACGCAGCGGATTAAAAATAAAATGGAAAGTGTAAAAGTTGGCAGCCAAGCTCACAAATCAATTAAGAATCAATGCAAGGCGAATTTAGTATCTATAGAGCAGTGGGACTTGGCATACAATATATCGTTAGTATAGTATGGAAAGGGCGTAACTCACATCGTCGCTGAAATACAAAAAGCCGTAACTAACTAAAAATCCAAAATTCACTTTTTGATTGATTATGATGCATTTCATCGAATCATAAGTCCCCACATCGATTTTTGCAGCAAAAAATTTTAGTTAGTTGTGTTAAATTGTTAAATGAGTGGGCATAGGGTAGATTGTGCGCAGTGCTAACTTAGATCGCACTCTCGGTACAATTGTCTTAATGAGGCAATAATCATGGTATCAAAATAGATTTAATGTGCCCGTATAAACGCATTTAAGGGGATTACGCATATATTCCGGGTAGGATACCTTAAGCTGCGAATGAGCGGTAATGATCGAGATTGGGCCACAAACGTGACTGCCAGTAATAAGCGCCGCGCCTCAATATGTTTTCTCCATTCTGATCATCTCCTTAGTCACCCATGTTAACAACTCGGCTAAAAGCTGTAAAGAAAGTAGACAATTTTAATGAGATGCAACAAAAATTACT